TTTGACTTCGAAATGTGCTTCGCGCCACAACGGCGTGCACTTTTTCGACATCTCAACTTCCAAAAGTGGTCCGAGAATGGTGTGTTTTGTACATTTTGACTTCAAAACTTGCTTCGCGCCACAACGGCGTGCACTTTTTTGACATCGCAGCTTCCAAAAGTGGTCCGAACCTGGTGTGTTTTGTGCATTTTGACTTCGAAATGTGCTTCGCGCAACAACGGCGTGCACTTTTTCGACATCTCAACTTCCAAAGTGGTCCGAACCTGGTGCGTTTTGTACATGTTGACTTGGAAATGTGCTTCGCGCCACAACGGCTTGCAACTCTTCATCTCGCTCCGCACCCGCCGCTTTAGCGAGCCTACTTTTCGACCCTTCGGAGCCACAAATCATTGGAAAAACACAGTGTTTCGCGACTTTCATACCTTTTCGCGCATCTGCGTCTTCTTTCTTCTGACTCTTTCTCTTCTCTGATCTTCTCTCTTCTACTCTTCTCTTCTCTCTGCCTCTGCCCATCTCTGCTTTTCATCTGTCCATATGGTCGGAAGTTTGACTTCTAAACTTCCTTCGAATATCATCATTAGTGGTTTGTTCATGTTTTATCATCACCCAGAAATATTAGTGAGGTTCCAAATGGATCCAAATGGCCCATTTATAGTTGTTTTACCTATTTAAGTGGTGATTTTCCATAGCTTTTTGCTAGTTTGCCAGAAGGTATATGGTATATGACCAACAGGACCATGTTTTTTTTGGTCTATCTGAGTCTATGGGCTTTACCCAGTGAGCCCGGTGGGATGGTCCAGATGGAAAGACTCTCAAATCTCCAGTCTCAAAAACAAGTATTCTTACGGTGGCCATTATAATTGCATTATAAACATTTCAAAAACCATCAACTCTAAAATAAACATTCCATAAACCATCATAAGAGTCTAAAATCCTACAATAAACATTTCATAAACCATCATAAGAGTCTCAAATCCTACAATACACATTTCAAAAAACAATAAAAGAGTCTTAAGTCCTACAAAAAACACTTCATAACCCATCATAAGAGTCTGAAATCCTACAATAAACATTTCATAAACCATCATAAGACTCTTAAATCCTACGATAAACATTTCATAAACCATCATAAGAGTCTTAAATCCTACAATAAACATGTCATAAGACATCATAAGAGTCTGAAATCCTACATTAAATATTTCATAAACTACATAAAAGTCTTTAATCCTACAATGAGCATTTCATAAACCACCAGAAGAGTCTTAAATCCTACAATAAACATTTCATAAACCATCATGAGAGTCTTAAACCCTACAATAAATATTTCATTATCAAAAGATTCTTAAATCCTGCAAAAACATTTCATAAACCATCATAAAAGCCTTAAATCCTATAATAAACATTTCATAAACCATCATAGGAGTCTTAAATCCTACAGCAAACATGTCGCAAACCATCACAAGAGTCTTAAACCCTGCAAAAAACATTTCATAAACCATCATAAGAGCCTTAAATCCTATAATAACCATTTCTTAAACCATCATAAGAGTCTTAAATCCCACAATAAAAATTTCATACACCATCATAAGAGTCTTAAATCCTACAATAAACATTTCATAAACCATCATAAGAGTCCTAAATCCTAAAATAAACATTTCATAAACCACCATAAAAATCTGAAAGTCTACAATGAACACTTCATAAGCCATCATAAGAGTCTTAAATCCTACAATAAACATTTCCTAAGCCATCAAAAGAGTTTTAAATTTTACAATAAACGTTTCATAAACAATCATAAGAGTCTCAAATGCTATTCTAAACATTTGTAAAAGCCATCATAAGAGTCTTGAATTCTATAATAACCATTTCAAAATCAATCATAAGAATGTGAAAACCTACCAAAAAACATTTGATAAACCATCATAAGAGCCTTAAATCCTACAATAATCATTTGATAAACCATCATAAGAGTCTTCAATCCTGCAATAAACATTGCATAAACCATCATTAGAGTCTTAAATCCTACAATAAACATTTCATAAACCATCATAAAAGTTTTGAATCCTAAAATAAACATTTCATAAACCATCATAAGAGTCTTAAATCCTGAAATAAGCATTTCCTAAACCATCATAAAAGCCTGAAATCCTACAATGAACATTTCAGAAGCGATCATAAGAGTCTTAAATCCCACAATAAACATTTCATAAACCATCAAAAGAGTCTTAAATGCTACAATGAACATTTCATAAACAATCAGAAGAGCCTTAAATCCTACAATAAACATTTCAAAAACCATCATAAGAGTCTTAAATTCTATAATAAACATTTCATAAACCATCATAAGAGTCTTGACATCCAAAAAAAAAATCATAAATCATCAAAAGAGTCTTAAATCCTACAATAAACATTTCATAAACCATCATAAGAGTCCTAAATCCTAAAATAAAAGGACTGGATAACCCCACAAATCAACTTCTTCCAATAACGAGCAAGAAAT